TATTATAGGATGAATTAGATGATAATAATCTTATCTTCCATTCAAGGCAATTTATTATGAGATCATTTTCGGTATATATTGGAATATTTTTATTTCTGAGGAGAAATGGAATTCTGAGCAGTTTTATCAAGGCTCCCCTTGGTAATCCATTTGGTAACCACGCACAGTACATTCATTGTCCTGGTTAATAAGTCTTAAGTTGCTGTCTGATTTGGCAAGCTACAACACAGGTTAGGAATTCCTAACCCAACTTCTTTATTTCCTTTCTTTACAGTTGGCACTCTTTATTTCCTTCTTGCATGTACAAATCTCTATACTACTTGTTGCTATTTTTTCAGGTACCCTCTGGTAATCGAACTAGAATTGTATGCAACAGATAACATAATGTTGGTAGGATGGACATTTTGATGGAGGAGATTCTCCCCAGCCATGTTAATTTCAATTCTTCCAGTTATGTACTAAACCATGTATCTGGGCGCATAATTTTAAAAACATGTTTTACTTAAAAGTAGCTGGCATTATTACCCCTAAATATTTTATAGATATTTTCATAACAGGAATACCCATGTCTATAGGGATTCCCTCTCTTGGTCAAATATTATTAGGGCTCAATATCATTAAATATATTAAATTCAAGATCATTATATATATTTAATTATCTTGAAACCAGATGCTAAACTATATACTGACAAAACATCGAATATTCTTGGAATCTCCATGAAAGGATGTGAGACCTATAATGCTATGTCATCTGTAAAAAGTTGTAAAAGGAATTTATGGCCGTTAATTTGTATGGTCACAATAGGGAATCTTGCCATAATAAATTAGTGAAAAGCTGTAACGTCAGGGCATATAATAAAGGTGAAAACAGGCAAACATGTTTTGTTCTATACTTGATTAAAATGGGAGGAAAGTCTATTCCATTAGTTCTAGTTACTGTTGTATTATTGGAATAGAAAGCTCTCAAACAAGATAAACTCAACATTGTGACATCCCTAACTTTTAACAGAAATCCACACTCCACCTTGTTAAATGCTTTTGTGGCATGTAAGGATGCTATAGCATAGTGATTAGGTTAGTTTGCAACATAGTTTCTTCCCTGTAATCCTTAAAACAGGTATGAGGACAATGTTGTGTCCTACTGAAAAGTGCATCTTATTTCTTTGCTGTGAGCAAAAATGGAAGATATCAAGTATTTTCTCTTTAATGGATATAATTACAATAAATTTTGTGTGCCTTTTTTGTATTCTAGGCTGTTTTACAGGGAAAAATGCAGAAATGTTTCTTGTGTGAAAACCTTCTGTGCACAAAAATGTTTTTGATCATTTTGCAAAAGACAAGTTTTTGAGCAAAATACAAGACATTTTAATCAAAATATTGGCTTTAAAAAGTGTTTCCACTAAAAAAAATCTTGATGTGTTGTGACACTCTTTTCATTGAGGACACAAATGTTTATAATTATTCATTATATCCTTGGTTTCCAGCTCCTGGAAAAAGATTTCTTGCTGCCTAGGGAATTTTGGGAACTATAATTCAAAAATCTGTACTCTGGCTCTGGCCTTCTGCAGTGGTGGCAGTTAAGCTTAGCATAGTGGTAGCACTGTCTTTGGCAAACTGTTTTGGTGACCCAGGGAGTCAGGGCCCTGGATTTGGCTTACTGAGATCTACCTTTGATTTGACATTTTAGAGGCCTTGTGCAGAGATGTAGGGGGAACTGGGAGAAGATTAGGTGGGCAAATCACCAGTGGCAGAAATGTTTAATTCTCCAAATTTCATACAGATTCATCAGGTCAGAAGTGAGAAGGAGGAAATGAAATGCCACTAAAGGGTTTGAACTTTATGAGGCTGAGGGCATCTTTTGATAATTCTATTATTAGCTTGTAGTTTTCTATTAAGCTTCACATTTCAGCTATTTTTTTTTTTGCTTATTTAATTAGACACTCCCTAGTGTCATTCCAGGACCTAATTAATTCTCTCTTTTTTCATGGCAGTACTGTTACTTGTTTTTTAGACAAAGCTGCTAATAATTTAGAATGGGAATCATTTGTTTTATGTTATGCATGAATAATTCAGTGTCTTGTCTTCCAAATATCTGCAGCAACTCCAAGAGATAATTTCTAAGAGCTATTTTTAAAGGATGATATTTTCTGGGAATCATGTGATAGAAGTCAGTGTTCACTTTTGAGTTCTTGGAACTAATAGAATCTACTTTCTAGCAGCAGTCACCTAACATAGGATTTTGGGAGTCTTAGGACCTGCCCTGTTAATGGGCAGTAAATGTTTTGGAATGGACAGTAGTGGCAAGTTGAGGACAGAGCTGTGTGTGCAATTAATTAATTAATTAATTAAAATTGTATCCCATTCCCTTTAATGTCACACCACTACTTTGGGCAGGTTACAACACATATAATAGAAACCATAAATAAAAAATAGAAACATTAAAACCAGCAACAGTAACCCTAAAACACAGGCTGCCCAAAACCTTCTAAGCTAGCCTACTGTCATTGCTTGTCATGAAGGATATTTTGAAAGGAGATTCAGATTCCTGTCCAGGTAGCATCTGCACATGGAATGCAAGGGT